GCGACGTTAGCCGTGGCGGCCTCATGAAAAGGCTCTCCGGTTTCCTCCGTGGTGGGACGTGTGGGCTTTAACTCTTAGAAAACTGAGAACGGAGAGGGTTTTACCCAAACGGTTGAAACTGCCTCCCCTCTGGGTTCCTACCACGGAAGGAAACCCTCGCACCCACAGGGGCGATCTGAGACTCTCACTTAGCTCAGCGGGTGGGGCGACCGACGTGACCATGAGTCTCAGACCCGGGGGTGCAGGTGTGTCCAGGTGGGTGCCTCTAGCTCAGACCCGCACGGCTGGTGAGGGCCCGGGGAGGCTGGGTCTTGAAACAGTTTGTTATTGGGGTTACCCAAGGAATACCCTCCACTGCAGAGTTCTCCGGAGTGTGGATTAGCGAAGAGACACCCAGGTCCTGAAGTCCTCTGCCCGGAGGTGGTGGAGATGGAGGACTGAGTCGCGCAGGGATCACTCAGCACACGTCCTTCTCCCGTGCTTAGGGCCGTTCACTCTGTCTTACGGAGGATGTTGAGCTCGTGGTTGTTACAGACGCGTGGCAACTAACTCGGGGTCGGCCGGTCTCAGCTCCCACCGGCCGGTCTCAGCTCCCACTGGCTAGTGTGCCCTGACGTCATTTGGCCTTTTCTCTAAACATTCAGTGTGAGATAAAAGACGGGACTTGTTTTTAGAATTATGGTCCTGTAGCTATCATATTAGGTACTAACAAGTAACTTAAAAGTAACCCCTTGGGGTCGTCAAGCGAGCCGCGTGCTCCTGCCCGGCCCCCCTCTTCACCGCTGCTGACTCACACGGTGCCTTTATGCTTTGCCCCCCACAGTCAGCTGGGATGAGGCCTGACGCTTCCCCAGACCCTTCGGGTTGCCACGTGCCACCTGGCTCCTCGTCTGTCCCGTGTTCCCTGTGTTTTTCTCAAACTGCTGCTGAATCTGGGGAATTGCTGGGATTCTGGCCTCATGTTTGGCCACATGGTGCGTGCCCTTGGGCGGCAGGCCTGTGTCTCTCTCCCTGGTTACTGATGAAACGGCCTGAAGGTGGTTTTCAATTTTAAATCGAGAGGCTCGGTTTGAAGGTCTGGCTTGTGTCCGCGCTCCCACTCAGTCCTGGGATCTCAAGGGAGTGGGAGGTGGGGCTCCTCCAGGGGCCCGAGAGGAGGTGGGACAGCTCGAGAGCCTGAAGCACCATCGTCAGCAGTGAATTGTCCCCAGGCCACCTGGGTTCTGAGTTCTGGGGTACACCGGCAGGTCTCAGTATTTGTTCCCGCAGGTCGGGGGGCGCTGAGCTTCCAGGTGCCCGGTGCGGGTGGAGACACAGGACTGTCGCAGGGAGCGGGGATGCTGAGCTGCATCTGCGGAGACCGTGGGAGTCGGCGATGGGTCTGCACAGAGAAGGGTGTCCTGTGCGCCCCGGGGGCTCCATGAGCAGGGCCTCCCGCGGGTGCTGCTGTGCACCTGGCTGCTCATGAAACCCTCGCACTGCAGACAGGCCAGCTCCCTGGGCGGGCGGGTGGCAGGGCCAGGTGGGAAGAAGCCCTCCCTGTGGGTCCCCACGGCCGACTTCTCAGATGCAGCCGAGGGGGTGGGCAGCGGGGCAGCCGGGGGACGCGTGGCCCCGGTAGTAGAGGCAGACGGAGGAAAACCCTGAGTGACTCTCCCATTTTGGATCACAGTGTGTAGGTGGCTTTGCTCTGTGAACACCGTTTAAAAGAACCCTTCACACTTTTTCTATGTGAAGGAAACGCAAAAGTTCAATAAAAAACGAAAGGCTTTTCTCATGGGAAACGGTGGTCACAGCAACCCCGAGAGCAGGGTGATTCAAACCGGGAGCGCCCGCATCTTTTCCACCTGGGGAGGCCGCGCCCACACACAGCAGACACGGGGAGCTATGACTCGTTTCCCTGTGTTATCACAGGAGGCGTCCCCAGCCAGCGGGCAGGGCTGGCTCCTCACTGGCAGACAGGCCAGCCCAGGCCCGAGACAGGTGAGCCCGTGGGGCCACCCTTCACCTGGCTCCTGCCCCCAAGGGTGTCAGTGATAGCAGCCACGTGATGGCCACAGCAGGAACTCTGCACTGACGGGCGGACCTGGACCGGGCAGCTGGCCAGCCCTCGGGAGGTGGGGATGATGTTAGTAGAACATGCTCTGATTCTCATGCACAGGCCCAACGGTCAGCATTTAAAAACCTTTTGTTTTGCAAGAATTCCAGATTCACACGAAGTGGCAGAGATCCGTGTCCCCTTTAGCCGTGTCCCCTGTAACAACACTGTGGACAGCAGGACCTACGTGGGCACCGTGTGTGTGTGTGTGTGTGTGTGTGTGTGTGTGTGGCCGTGGAGGAGACCAGGGTACAGAGGACGGGCCGTGTCCCAGCTTTTCTTAGAACCTAACCGATCTCCCAGCAGCCGAGCGAGGTGGTGTGACTGTCACCCCCATTTTACAAGGGAGAAAACTGAGCAAGAAGTCAGGAGAGCGGTCGTTCTCCGGAAGCGCCGGTGCTGGGCCTGAGCAGGCTCTCTCTAGAAGAGCAGCCTCGATGGCTCTGCAGGGTCGGCCTACATGGCCTCGGACCTTCCCCTGGACCCGCGCCAGGCCCGGCCCGGCCCAGCTGGCGCCTCTGGGGAGGAATGTGTTTGAGACTTTCCAAGTTAAAGGCGGCTTTAGCCAGCCCTGCGCCCATGACCGTTCCCCGTCGTGTCCTCCACGTGCATGACTCCTGTTGTGTTTATGAATTTGCTCCTCACATGATGCTCACAACACCACGTCCCACTGTTTATGAAATCATTAGGTTTTACCTGACAGATGACCGCAGCAGGCCCCGGAGTGGTGAGCACTGTTTGCCGCAGGTGACTCTACGTCAGACAGTCACCGTCCCTCTGGAGCGTCTTCGCAGACCCCAGAGGGCAGGCCTTTGGGATGGGCCAGGCCTGGAGCTAGGGCCTGGGGCCACGCTGCCTTTAATAAAATGCAGGGTGAGAAATCAGGACGTGTAGAATCTAGAGATTTTCAGCAGTTCCTGCTGGTGGCATGAAAGTATCTACCTTCGTTGTTTTCATTTATTTATTTATTTATTTTTTTAATCCTCACCCCAGGATATTTTTTCTTTTGATTTTTAGAGCGTGTGGAAGAAAGGGAGGACGGGGGAAGAAGGGGCGGGGGGAGGGGGGAGAGAAACATGGATGTGAGAGCCGGGGATTGAACTTGCAACCCAGGCACGTGCCCTTAAACCCAAGACTTTTCGACAGGCAGGCCAATGCTCCAACCACTTAACAACACCAGCCACAGCATGTGTGACTTCTAAAAAATTGAATTAAGCTGAAGGTGACTTGGAAGCACGGACATGTCTGTTGTATTGAGCCAGCAAAGCCCGAGGCTGGGGCTGACGTTCCTGACGGCAGAGCTGGTGCGGGGCTGCGAGGAGGGAAGAGGGGCTGCGAGGAGGGAAGAGGGGCTGCGAGGAGGGAAGAGGGGTGGCCGCGAGTCACCGCATCGCCCAGCTGCCGGCTGGCACTTTTCGCCCGAATCAGAGACACACTCGCATTTATGTGGAGCTGCCAGATTCATGCTGAACATTTCCAGGCAAAAACAGTAATTTTAATCATCTATGATACAGTATTTATTTTGTGAACCATCCTAACTTTAAATTGTGCTCATGGTGTGTGGCTAACTCTCAGCGAGACAAGAGCAAATTATTCGCACAGATTCATTCGGTAACATTCAAGTGCAAAGCGTCTAGAACAGTGGTTCTCAACCTTCCTAATGCTGCGACCTTTTAATACAGTTCCTCATGTTGTGGTGACCCCCAACCATAAAATTATTTTCGTTGCTACTTCATAACTGTAATGTTGCTACTGTTATGAATCGTAATGTAAATATCTGATATGCAGGATGTATTTTCATTGTTACAAATTGAACATAATTAAAGCATAGTGATTAATCACAAAAACAATATGTAATTATATATGTGTTTTCCGATGGTCTCAGGTGACCCCTGTGAAAGGGTCATTCGACCCCCAGAGGGGTCGCGACCCACAGGTTGAGAACCGCTGTTCTAGAAGCTACGCTGCCCTTACCCCACGAGTGAGGAGTTAACTTTCCTCCGTTCCTCCCACCCCCTCACTGTCTCTCACGCTCTTTTTTTTTTTTTTTTTTTTTAAGTTTCTGGGAATCAGATGGAGCTAACTTTTTATTTCTTTTTTTTCTATTTATAGTAAATGATAGTAGTCTTGTTACCTAGGTCAGCAGTTTATACACAGTAACACAACATAGAAACAGCACATTGGCACTCTGGACGGAGGTGCTGTCTTGGGGTCTCGGGGCACTGACGTCTGCCCAGAGTCTGTCTGGGAGCTGTGGGGAGGCCCTCACTGTAAGCAGTCACGACTGCGTCCCCTCCGCGGGCCCCTTCGCTCCTCGTGTGGAAGCCGGTGCTCGGGGGGCTCCTTGCCTCCGGCCGTGGTGCGGGACACAGAGCAGGTGACGCGGGAGGTCACCCGGGAAATGCCCGCCGGGGAGCTCTCCCGCGGTTGCTGTTTCGTGTCACTCAGAGGCGAGCCTGCGTTTCGGTGGTGGTGGCGCCCGTGCCCGGCCCCGTGACTGGCATTTCTCTCATTCTCGCGCTCGCGCGTATTTATCCCACTTCTCTTGGTCAAGTTACAGGATGAATGTCTGCAGAGGTGACTGAGGTGGTGCTGAGGGAGAAGCAGGGTCTGAGCAGGCGTCCCTCTGTGGCTGGGAAAGACGGCCCGTTAGACCTGGAGCCGAGCCACTGGGGAGGTTCGGTCGTCCACACGGGCCTGTCGCGAGGGAGGAAGGTGTTGCGAGGTCCTCCATGGGAAATGTTTCCATCTTGTTCAGGAGCCTCGTTGCGAAGACCCGCCAGGCCCTGGCCACGTGCCCCCAAATGAGCTGCCTGTGTCAGGACGTGACCTCCCCGACGGGGCGCGGGGGCGCCGTGGGGCGCGGTGTGCGCGGGTCTAACGCTCTGCTGTTCTCTTCCAGCCCGTCTCTCCCTGCCCTCGACTGGCAGCTGCCGTCGCACTCGGGGCCCTACGAGCTGAGGATCGAGGTGCAGCCCAAGTCCCACCACAGAGCCCACTACGAGACGGAGGGCAGCCGGGGGGCCGTGAAGGCGTCGGCGGGGGGTCACCCCAGCGTGCAGGTACCGGCGTGCTCACCTGGGCTTCTCGGGTCCATAGGCAACTTTGTGGCAACCGCTAGCATCTCTTCCTTTTCTCTCTTTAAAAATAAGCTATCATCTCCCAACTGGTCCAGCGAAATACTCTGTGTGCCGGGGGAAGGCCTGGCTTCTCCCCGTGCGCTTAGAGACTGAGGGACACTGTGCAGCTCTTTTTGCTGCCGCTGGTGGGTCAGCTGCAGTCACGGTGGGGCAGGGGGCTCTGCCCTTTGGAGGAAATAGGATTTAGGGTTAGAGCTGGTGTCCGGGGAGCACCTTGGTCACCGTGACAGGGACAGGGGTCATCTGCCGCCCTAACCTTGGCCCCCTGCTCTCCCCGGGGAGTGGGTCTGCAGGCCCCGGGGGGCTGTGGGCAGGCATCGGCGTTTCCCGGGGTCTCACGTCACCTAAGAAGCTGTAAGTCCCCTCCCCTCCCCCGCCAGGCTCCTGCTGTGACCATCACGTTGGGGGTGGGCGGGCCTCGCCCCAGAGCTCCAGGCCATGCAGCAATGACAAGAGTGTTTCCCCGAGTCTGTGCCCACCACGGCCGGGCCCGGCCCGCTATCGGGATGATGCCAGTGGGCGCCCGTGTTAGGCTTTATTCACTGAAGTAAGTCAGAGTTTGGGAGGGAGGAGCGCACACAGGCCAACGCGTCGGCCAGCACGACAGTCAGCACCATCGGGCAGGCGCTGGGGGCGGCACTCAGCCCTGCGGGGACGGTAGGTGGCACTTGTGGCCATGCACTTGGCACCGGTTAATACCTGCCTGGTTTGCTGCTCGACTCGGCACAGCCGGTGACATTTTAAGTTGCCGCCTCCGGGGAGAGAAAGGTCAGACACGCCTACGTCCAGCCGAGCGCCACGGCTGCAGGCATTTAGCTCCCTTTCTGGCCACAGTTTTCATGGCCGAACGTGGTTGTGGCTGAACAGGGGAGACGGTCCAGCGGCGAGAAACAAGGAGGGGCATGAGGATAAAGCAGCGAGAACTAAAAGCCCTCCCGCTGCCTGTGAATGCCGGCGAGAGATGCGGGAGATGCGGTGTGGCCGTGGTGCCTCCCTCACTGGCGGCTGAGGACTGTCCAATGGAGGGTGTCCACCTTCACCCCTTAAGTGTCCTGGGCGGTCGGGGTGTCACCATCAGTGTGACAGCTTGGAGCACTGACACCTTTTGAAGGAATTATAAACATTTAAAATAGCCTCAGAACTTAGTTCAAATTACAGGACAGCAAAGTGGGAGGGGCTGGCTCTGTGTTTAACCAGAAGGGACAGCCCCACCCCCATCGGTGCCCGAACACCAGGGTCAGGACGTCTGCCAGCGTCTCCTCGTGAGGAGCTGGTCATTGAGGATTTCTGACCCCTCGGTGCCAGCGTGAGTTTGCGTCTGTGCAAGTGTGGCAAGCGTGAAAAAGGAGGGCGGGGGGTGGGGGGTCCTTTTTCGGTTGGTGGACCACAAGTCAGATAAAAACTGAGTTTGCACACAGCTATAAAGCAAACGAAGAAAAGCTCGCAGCGTGGCTGTGATGGCTCAGTGCCCCCAGCCCTGCCCTGCACAGCACCATGTTGCATGTCCTCCGACACCAGGACCCACACCCGCACCCTCATCTCCTCCAGAAATGGCCACGATCGCAGGGCCTTAGCCCGACGTGATCGGTCGCTGTTCTGATCAGAATGGTGTCACCACGGATCGCGGGAGAGCCACCCAGCGAACCCGGGAGCTCTCGCTGGATAAACACGCTGTCCAGGGACCTCCAGCGGTCAGACCTTCCACATCGCCAAGAGCTTGTCTGGGAAGTAAGCCCGCGATCTTCTGCAGGAGGGGACGCCCAGGTGCCCGAGCAAGGACGCAGCCGTTTCTCCAGCGTCAGTGACGGGGGGGAGCTGTACCCACAGCCCCCCTGCTCTGCATCCGCGACGGCGATGACCTCCTTTCTGGACGGATGAGGGGACAGCGTCGGCCGGTGGGGTGGGGTCGAGGAGTGTGCAGGGCACTTTCCACACTCAGGACGCTTCCTAGACCCTCCAGTCACCGACAGCCTAGGAGGCATCCTGGGGAGTCGGGGGCTGCTCACTCCGCCCCCCCACCCCACCCCAACGACCACAGCACGCGGCACGGCTCTGTGGGTTCAGCAGGCTAGGTCTGGGCCCGGCAGTGGCTCTGGGAAGGGGCGGTTTCTCCACCTTCTCAGGGACAGGAAAGCAGAGGGGTTGTCGCCTGGGTGGATGGCGGGAAGATGCCTTTCCAAGGAGGCGGGCTGGGCCTCTCCTGGTATTTTTACTAATAAACCAGAGAGTTACATTCCTGAGAAGCCTGGAGCTGGTGCCACCACCTTCTTCAGACGAGAACACAGACACTCCCAAGCCCCCGCCGTTCATCTCTTCTCTGTCCTGTTTGCCTGGAGCCCCGCCTCCTGTCATCCTCCGGCCTCTGTCCAGGCCTCCGTCCAGGCCTCCTTCGTCCTTCCTCTCTGTCGTCTGCCTGTGTCCCCAACCCCAGAGCGCTGCTCACATGAGCCCGTGGTGGGTGAGCATCCAGAGAGCCCGCCTGGGGTGTCCTGTGTCCCTGCTCCCGTCGGGGCTCGCGGAGCCACCCAGGGAGGCCACTGCTCTCTGACCGAGGGGTCAAAGGGTGGAGCTCTGTTTACCAAGTCACCAAAATAACTTTCTCGATAGCATCTAGCCCATCACGCAGGAGGCCGGTGTATGAATAATTAATCAGTCATGGAAACATGAAGCACAGCGAAGGCTTTGTCGATTCCTGAACAGCGTTTTAGGTTTGCCGGTCAGTTATGAGTGACCATGTAACCCCTGTCCAGACGGGAAGGAACCGGATCCAGAGCTGGGGGCCGGGTGAGCCTCGCCGGACTCACCCTCATGCTGGGGCTCAGACAGGGTTGCTTGTGCTCTGCGTGGTTCCAAGGGACTCCCCTTAATTAGGGCGCTTGGGGATTAGGCTCAGTGTTGCCTCCATAGACCATGGCAGATACCTTTCTGTCGCACTAGACATGTGGGAGCTGAAACCACGGAATGAACGCAGTTGCTTCTTGTCCGATGGTTAGAATCAGCATCCAGAGTCAGGCTCTTACAGTTTTCGTTTTATGAAGTCTCCCCCCCGGGCTCGTAGGGGTGGCTGAGTGCCCAGCACTGTGAGACTCAGGCCCTGGGGGGCGCGACTCCTGGGACAAACTGTGACTCCTGTTATGCACTGTCCACAGCATGTGTATGTTCCCCACAGCTTCGTTCCACTTTTCATCCAGCCTACAGCCAAGGCAGCACTATTAACGTGGAAAGCCAGGGTTTCACAAAAGCCAGGGAGGTCGCTCTCACTGAAGTAAATCACTATTTCATGGCAAACCCGAGGCCCACCTTGGAGCCAGGCGTCCGAGACCCAGAGCAGCTTCAGTTCTGCTCAGGGCCCTGCATGGGGGCCGGAGGCCGGGCAGTGGCTTTTAATGCAGGCCTGAACCCAGCCAGAACCCGCTCCGCCGGCCTGCAGCCACATGCTGCTGACCTGCCCGGGCGCGGATTAATTTTTCATGGGTCGGCCTCAGCCGCTGGGCATCTGCTCTCTACTCTTTCACGGCATCCGGGCAGGTGGTCGGCCCCTTCCCGGGCTGCCTTGCCCGCGAGCCCGAGGATTGCGCCCTCGTGTGGGGCCTCGTTGTTGCTGTCAGGCGCTCGTGAGGACTTGGCGTGTTCTCTCCTCCCTCCTGCAAAGCCAAGTGGCTGTGAATGTCGAGGAGGAGGCCGGTGACGATAACAAGGAGTGGGGCGAGGGCCGGTGGGCCGTGACCTTCACCCAGAGCCCCGGCTTTCACCCTTGACTACTGCGTTCAGAGGCTGTTCTGTGTGTGAGGGAGGGGCCCCGGGTGGGGGGATGTCACCTCCTGAGTTGCTGTTACATAACTGTCCCTGAGCCGCTGTGGGCTGCGGCGCCCCGAGTGCCGTCGGCCTGGGCCTGCTCCTGGGTCTGCGTCGCTGGGCACGCTATAGCAGTGGCTGGCCACGGCCTCACCTCTCGTCGGGAACACGGGGCCCTTTTCCGGATACAGCACTTTGCTCTGTGTCGGCACAGAGACGGGCACACAACCGCCCCTTGACCAGCCGCCCGGTGGCCGTCCCTCACAGCAGTCGGTGCCAGGGGAGGGGCAGCTGATGGCAGACTGGTGTCCGGCCTGTGGGCCATGGGCATCTGGTCGGCATTGCCTACGGACCAGTGCGGAAGCCCCTGTGAGGTCTCCGGGGCCCAGCACCGGCGCCGGCCGTTGTGCCAGCCCTGCCCTGACTCAGGGATGGCAATCACCAGGCCAGGCATGGCTCCCAGAAGGCTCCCCTGTGTCCACCCTGCACACGGGAGTGGCCCGCCAGCCCTCATCCTGAGCAGTTAATTACAGTCTCGCCCTCCGACGACTCCGGGGGCACAGCTGTCATGACTTCTGACCACACCAGCTTTGCATTTCAGGGCCCCTGGGCCTCCACCCTGCCAGGTCCACCCTCCCGTCCTGCGTGGCCGTTGTCTTCAGGCCCACGTGTGAGCCGGGCAGCTGTGGCATCGGGGGGGGAGTGGCCTTGTGAGGAGGCACCACCTGGCCTCACCCTGCCACAGAGGCCCCTGTGTCCCGAGCATCTGGTCTGGTTCAGTTGCCCCAGGGCCATCCCGCCTGCCGGAGACCTACGGCTTCTTGTTCTTTTATTTTGTGTCTAGAAATTTCCATGTGCCTCAGGGAAAGCTCAGGAAAGTGGGGTCTGAGGAAACACCAGGCATCGGAACGAACCCTCGCTGCCCGCTGACAGCCCGGGAACAGGAATTGGATGGCCTGGGCCCTGGTGGCGACAGCGTGGCCGGGGCCTGAGCCACAGAGCCAGGCGGACATTTCCTCTCAAAATCCCGTCACGGCCTTCCATGTGGAAGCCACATCCCACCCTGGGACACTGGGGTGGAGGCGGAGGGGGCTGGAGTGAGACGGGATGCCCATCCCAGCAGGCAGAAGAGAGGTCTCCACGGGGGGTGGGGGGTGGAGGGGGGTGCCTCCCTGCATCGAGGGGTGGCTGCACGTCTGGGTGTCCGCACACTGCACAGACTGTGCCCACTGTGGAATGAGAAGGAGGACAGACAGTTTTGAGTGCAGGTTGGTGAGGAGAGGCCTGGGAAGCTTCACTCACTGTGGAATGGAGCCGCGTGCGGGGGCAGGAGTTAGAGCCAGGCAGGCATGTGCTTAGGAAGACAGCCAGGGGTGGCCACGCCTGTGGACAGAGGCCCGCGTGCCACCGTCTCTGGCATTTCGGCTTTTCAAATATTTATGCAGATAAACTCCCTGAATGTGGTCCTCACTTATTTTCTGCCTTTTCAGAAAGGTAGAAAAATGTCACACACAAACCTAGGAAACTCTAGGAACGAACTCTTTTTCCTGCAAGGAACATCGTGCGGCCTCTTGGAGCCTCTTTGTTGCCGGAACTGAGTCTGTGACTTGTGTGCAGTTTAAAAACTGGCTGGAAGGCTTTGGTGTCCTGGCGATTTACACCGTCTCGTTTTACGGCATAAACCTGGTTTTGTGAGGGGACACGCGTGGTCTGACTCGGTACTAAAGCAATGTCATCCACAGGGAGGGCTCTCAGAAGTAAGGTAGCACACTTCATGGTGTAAACTCAGTGTGGACATTGGGTCATTGCACACACGTGCACACGTACACACATATGCAACACATGTTTGTACATGCATACACACGTACACGGTGCATACCTATACACATGCACACGCACAACACCGTGAGAGCTGGGCAGAGTGGCCCACCGAGACATGAGTCACTGAGACCAGCGCTGCAGGTGAGTCCTGGCTGGACGTTGCAGGTGCACAGCCAGCTCTGTCCCCGCCCATCCCACGGGAGTTCCGCGTCCTCCCGTCACTCGCTGTCACTGTAGGACGGTTCCCCTGAGCTGACTGGGCTCAGAACCAATTCCTGCATCCTCATACCTGCACATCTGCACACCCTGGCACACGCACACACACACGTACACACATCACACCTGCACACACACCAGCCAGCCTTGTGAGGAAGGGAGTATTGAGGGCCCTTCATCTGGCAGCTTTAACCTGCAGGTCATCATGAACCAGGAGGCTGCGGCCCCTGAAACTCACTTTTACAAATGCAGAGCTCTCGTCCTGCAGTTAAGGTCCTGCCTGCACCACGTCAGCAGGTCCCGGGGAGGCGTGGCCCAGAGGGTGGGGTAAGGTGCCTGGGCTCACGCGTGTTCTCACACAGTTTGGGGGCTTTTCCTGTGACTCCTGGCTCCATTTTGTTGCCAGTTTTATTTCTTATTTCTAGTTTTTCTCTTTCCTTAATAAGGAGGCAAGAAATTGGTGTCTTTACAACTGTCAGCTGTGCTTTGACGACCACATGTCACAACAGCAGGCCCTCCCCTCACCGACACCGGCCCCAGTCTAGCTCATGGCCACCCCTGTCGCTCACTGTCCCAGAACCGGTGCTAGAGACTGTGATTTCCCTCTTCATTATCTGGCAGAGACATGGCGGGAGCCCCTCGGAGCCTCCCTCCCCATGGCCTGTCCCTCGCCACCGCCTTCACCACGAGGCCCTGCCTCCTGTGCCGTTGGCAGCGAGAATCTGGGGGCTGAAAGTGTAATGAATGTGATGATGCTCATACGACAAACAGCCTCTGAGTTAATCCATAGCAGGAACATTTGGGTAAAAAGAAGTGAAACCCTTTCCTAAACTGGATTTTCCTTCCCCGCAGAGTTCCTTTTGGCATCGAGTAAAGACACAAATTTTACATCTGGGTTAAATGCATAATTTCCCTTTGCTCCTGGGCCGACGCTCAATCACTGAGCCACACCGGCCGGGCCATAATTTCCCTTTGAACAGACAAGCTAAGATTTCCTTGCTTAGCTTGTGAGTAAACCAACTAAGAATGGCTAGTTGAAAAGGAACTAATTTCCCTCAACTGCAGGTCATCATGAACCAGGGCCTCAGTCTCCCGTACTGACTTTTTTGTTCACACGATACTGCCTTCCCCTGTGTGTGTGTATGTGCACGTGTGTGTCCTGTGTGTGTGTGTGTGTGTGTGCATGTGTGTGCCTGTGTTGGGGGCATGGGCTTGGGAGCACTGCTTGAATTTCGACATTGAATAAACTTGACCTCAATCTCTCCCCTCACCTGTCATCTCACGTGTAAGTGCTGAGCTAAGCATAGGAGCTAAAAACAAACATTTTTATGTGTAGAAAACTCAGGAGCTCTTACACCTTGAAATGGAATAATGCATTTTGTTTAGCATAGAGAGGTCATTGTTATGACAGATAATTTTATAAATATTATCCTGACAGATACTATAATGTGCCAGAGGCTGAAAACCATGCAGTGCAACATGTGAAGTATATAAATTGCTTTTCTTAAAATGAACTTCATGTTTTAAATAATAGATGTTTACCTTCCAGGTTAAACCCCATATATTCCCATTTTCACTGAAATAGCATGTTTTTAAAAGGCTAGTTATACCCACAGTCCATTGCATTCCACATGCCATCTGATAATCTCCACAGTGGGAGTCCCAGGGGGATTTTAAATTGTCATTTTCAAAACATCTGACCCTAGCCTGGCCGTGTCAGGCCAACGGCACTGCTTCCTGACTCCAAGGAGCTCGCCGGAGCCGCACGAGACGAGGTTTAGGCCGAAGACTCGTTTTCTTGCATTAAGTTTACCACATAGAACAACACAGAATGGCAGAATTTATTTCTTAATCAATCTCTGATTTATTGATTTTTTACAGAGAGGAAGGGAGAGAGATAGAGAGTTAGAAACATCGATCAGCTGCCACCTGCACACTCCCTACGAGGGATGTGCCGGCAACCAAGGTACATGCCCTTGACCGGAATTGAACCTGGGACCCTTGAGTCCGCAGGCTGACGCTCTATCCACTGAGCCAAACCAGTTAGGGCCAGTCTCTGATTTAAATTTAATATTTTCTGATCATAAAATGTAGGTTTGGGTCCAGCGTGGAGTTAGGTTTCTTAGTAAGTTCGCTAACCTGGCAAAGACTGGAGTCGCACTCCCAGAAGGAGGCGGGAAGGCGTGGCCCAGACAGCGGGCCTCGGTCTCCCTACTGACTGCCCACAGTTCCCGCGCAGACACTCCCGTCTGCACCTGGAGAAAGGTCTTCAGTCCACAGGGGACACACGTCACTCCTGCAGGTTAAGAGCCACCTGAGGTGAGTGCCAGGTGCTGGCGGGTTCCCTGTGGAGACCAGGAAGGTCTGCCTTGGTGTTCACCTGCACGCAGCCAGGAGGAGAGTACGTGGACAGAGCCGGCGAGGGAGAGACCACCCCATGCCCCATGCTGAGCACAGCTCTGTTCCTGCCAGCCTCTCCCGTGCCACTGTGGAAACTCAGGTGTGTCAGCTGCAGGCAGGAGACGCGCCCCATGTGTGTGCACAGGCCTTGCACACTGTCATTAGTCCAAACGTGTCAGAGACCTGAGGATCAGGATGACACTCAGTTATTTCAACACGAAAGGACCACTTTGAGGTCGATCACGTTGGCAGTGCTCAGGACTGAGGCACAGGCAGGCAGACGGAGATAAGACTAGGACACGCACACTGCAACTGGGAGTGCAGTCTCCCCACCAAACACAGGGCTCCCGAGGGGCTGGGGGCTGCTGAGTGTGCATGTAAACGTGAGTGTGCGTGGTGTGTGTGTGTGTGTGTAGAGCCTGTGTGTGCACATGTGTGTCTGAATGTGAATGCATGTAAGTGTGTGCAAGATGAGTGTGCATGAGTGGATTGTCCCCTGTGGTTCAGACTGGGGACATGTCTGCACTTACCCTCTGTGCACCATCCTCCTCTGGCTCCGTCACCTCTCCCCAGGGCGTTCAGAGCCTCCTGCTCCATTGGCCACAGCAGGTGACGGGTGTGGTCTGTCAGCACCGATGGGCAGCTGCAGAGTGCTCGCCAGGACAGCATAGACACCAGGCCCTGAGCCAGCCTGTGCTGAGTGTCTCAGGGCTGCTGGGGAGTTACTGGAAGCTGCAAATTCATGCATCTCAGGGGCTGCAAATTGGTCTGTGACATCCTGTGGATGGTGTCACTGGGGCGATACTGAAAGAGCTACTGCTCTTTCCACTGGTCCCTCTGAAGGGGGCTGCCTGAGACAGGGAGAAAAGGATCGAGTCCCATTGGGCACTTGATTCTACCAAGCAAACGGCTTAGTCTTAGCGTCGCCAAACTTTCTGATGGGGCCGCCCAGCTGCATGGGGTCCTCACAGCTGTCACTGGCCAAGCGGACACAGGCTGTCCTCGCAGGCTGTGACACACATGGAAGGCAGGTGGGTCTGAGGAGCAGGCAGCTGCCACCTGGAGGGACCCGTGTGCTGGGAGGGACTGGGGCTCCTTCCCACCTGCCTGTCCTGCAGGGGAGACAGCACGGCTGTGAGCATCGTCACTGTTGTCATCCCGCGTGCTGGTCACAGCGGTGGCTGTGGATGCACATGTGTGTGTGTGTGTGCACGTGTGTGAGTGGGTACGCGTGCACCTGTGTGTGCTTGAGCAGGGGCAGCAGCATTGAAAGCCTGCCTGTCACCAACTGCCCCCGGACCTGGGGGTAAGGGGACCTTTCCAGGCTCCCGGTTTCATTGTCACAGAGAAGCAAGGGGCCGAGTGGGAGAGACTAACCCCGAGCACCTGTCACTGTTTCCTTTGAATTCGCCTCTGCTGATGAAAGTTTAATTGCTTCTGAGCGGCCTGTGCGCGGGTGCTGAGCGGGGGTTTGTTCTCTCGCCAGCTCCACGGCTACCTGGAGAGCGAGCCCCTCACGCTGCAGCTGTTCATTGGGACGGCGGACGACCGCCTGCTGCGGCCACACGCCTTCTACCAGGTCCACCGCATCACGGGGAAGACCGTGTCCACCACCAGCCACGAGGCCGTCCTCTCCAACACCAAAGTCCTGGAGATCCCGCTTCTGCCAGAAAACAACATGAGAGCCATGTAAGCACTGCCCGCCACACGGTCCGGGTGCCCGGGGCACGGCAGGTGTGTCCTCGGCATTCGTAGCCCCCACAGCCCACAGCTCAGTAGCCCAGTTTGTATATAAACTTCACCAAGGTTAATGAGGATTTCTGTCTTTCTGGGGTTTCAGCCCGTTAAACAGTCCTGCAGCTGTGAGTAACCCCCCTCCCCCAGTGCCTGCATTCAGCTCCCACACAGGACCCAAACTGGAGGGACAGTTAAACTGCAAACATTGAACAGTTACAGAGAACACCGCGTCTGGGCCACAGTCCGTGGGCCGCAGTCCGTGAGCCCTAGTCTCTTGGAGTCCTTGACCTGTAGTCAGCTCTGACTCCCTAGTTTAGAGTTGGATTCCTTAAAAGCTGAGGCTTACACACCTCATCTCTGAATGGGGCCTGTACTCATGGCTTCACGAATGCTCTAGTTGAGTGACTGTCAGGGGCTGTGCACATCACTCCTGAGCTGTGGATGCCACAGAGAAAGAGACCACAGTCATCCCACGGGATTTACATCCTGCTGGGGCCCCAGGGTGGTGTATCAGAGCTTGGTGACCCCTGGAGCTCAGGATCATGTCCCTGAGGCAGAAAGCTGGGTGTGCAGGGAGACAGCGTGTGCAAAGAAAGGCCCTGGGGCTGGAGAGTTTGGGGTGTTCATGGGGACAGTGTGGGAGGTAGGGCAGGCCAGGCCACAATGTGTAGGACTTTGAGTGAAATTTTGGCAAGTTTTGTCATGAAACAGTTTGAGTAGAAAACAGAGGGAAAGTTTTCTCTTTGTGTGGACTTTTCCCAGATTTGCCCACACCTCTGAGTTCATTCTCAGCCCTTGGGTTTAGTTCAAGAGCTGGAATCAGTTTCCCCCAGACCAGGCAGTCGGGTGGTCGGAGAGCCCATGGGTCCTCAGCAGAAGCAGCTGTGACTTCGGAGAGAGCCGTCCAGGTGCAGGGGCACAGCTGGAGCCACCGCAGTCCCCAGTCCGCACCAGTGGGCCCGGCCACCAATGGGCCGGCTGAGTGTCTGAGCGTCTGCCTCCTTCGCTTCCTGAGAGGAACAGTATCAGTTTCCACCTGGCATTCTGTACACAGACTGTTGCGCCGGAGTTTAGTGCTCAGTGAAGCTAAACAAAATCCTATGAAGCTGTAGGCAATTCGGGATCTTGAGCTGAGCAAGGAGCTGCTGCCAGAGCCTTAAATAAATGAACTTAGCTCCGAGACGGAGGGGCAGGTCCTGGCTCTGGGTTCCTGGGGCGTGTCCTGCTCGGGTCCCTCCAGGCCACATACCTGCCAACGCTGTGGGCCTGCCCGTGTCTGCGGGTGGACGACGGGGGACCACGGCGAGAGGACTGGGCTGTCCGCACGGCCCCCCTCCCTCGCCGGGGTCGATGGCAGGGTGTGTCCTGTCCCCGGTGTGTGGCTGTCCTGCCCTGGGGGCTCGGGCGGGTGGAGCGGCGAGGACGGGCGCCTTGCCCATGGAGTGGGACCGGCAGGCAGTGGACTTCTGTTTTGGGCAGCATCGACTGCGCCGGGATCCTGAAGCTCCGGAACTCGGACATCGAGCTGCGCAAGGGGGAGACGGACATTGGCAGGAAGAACACTCGCGTGAGGCTGGTGTTCCGGGTGCACATCCCGCAGCCCAGCGGCCGCACGCTGTCGCTGCAGGTGGCCTCCAACCCCATCGAGTGCTGTGAGTACCCCGTCACGCCGACAGCGCGTCCTCACCTTTTGTACGGCCCGAGCGGTGGGTCCCATCCGCTAACACGTTTTCCTGGGCAGTCTCGGCGCACGCCCCTCGTCTGGCAGTCCCGCCCCGTGTGGTGACGGCAGACACGGGTTAGCGTCGGCGCAGGGCCTGGACTGGTCCCAGCACCGACAGGGGGGCGGGGAAAAAGTGAAAGGAAGTTTGTCTTGAAACACAGATCCCTGCTGTGGTCGCATTTGCGTTAACCCCTCCCACGGGACTTTGGGAAGCTGAGTGTCATCCAGCGTCCCCTGGTGGTCCTGCTTCCGTGTGGTCTGGGGTCCTTCCTCTTGCGATCGTTTTGCTAGCTTTCGTTAACAAATTGGGTGCCCTGCATCCCCACAGCCTTCCCTCTGCCCAGGAGCGGGACCCCAGGCTGGGTCTATTGAGCTGCTCCCCAGGAAACCCGGGGGGGGGGGCCTGGCCCACCCACCAACCATGTCAGAACCACTCCTGCTTCCCTCATCTCGGAATGGCCTGACCCAGCCCCAGGTGTGGGCTCTCGGGAAATGCACCTGTCCTCACGCTCACCTGCCCCCTATTTCAGCGGAGGGCCTTGGTTTGGTTCCTTTGTTGCCCACGCTAACGTCAGGCTGACTCGGGGATGGGGTTCCTCTCGCGCCCCGGCCCCTGCCCTGTGACGGTGGCCCTGCCCAGCTGTCCCCTGCCACCCTGTTCCTGCTGGCCCCTGCACGTCTCGCAGACACCTGCTCCACGCCCTGGCCTTTCTGCCGTGTGGCTGCCTCTGAGATGGGGGGACCCCCGGGCTGTGTGAGAACCCGGGTACGTGGCACACCCTCAGACACTCTGCCCGCCTGCCTCTGGGGACAGTGTGGCCTCTCCCAGCACCGGTGCGGGGAGGGATGGCTGCACATTGTCCCTTGACGGCTCACGCTGTTCACACAGTCCCCAGAGGAGCTCTCTGAAGGCAGCGGTTCCCAAAAGCCTGGGCCTCTGGGGGGGCATCTGAGGGGTGCTGGGGCGGGCAGGCCAGCAGCGCCTCACTCACTGTCTCCTGACCCCGCAGCCCAGCGGTCGGCCCAGGAGCTGCCTCTGGTGGAGAAGCAGAGCGTGGCCAGCTGCCCCGTCCTGGGAGGGAAGAGGATGGTCCTGTCCGGCCACAACTTCCTGCAGGACTCCAAAGTCATCTTCGTGGAGAAAGCACCAGGTATCTCCCTTAGGAACAGACCATCAAGTGTTTCTGGGTGGGCGCTGGGGCCATGGGGTCCTGGAGGCGGAGGCCTCTGCGTGTGAGTCCGCGTGTACAGGCGTGGGCCGTAACCGCTGGGGCTGCGTCCAGCCATGAGCGTTTGTGCCAGCAGAAGGTTTACTTCTGGAGTCACCGAGGGCCCATCCTCATGCAGTTGGTGTCCGAGGGGCTGCTGTGGGGCCGCCGCGTGGGTGGCATGCTCTCCCCTGGGCCGCATGGTGGCCTGCTGCCTGGACTGGGCAGGTGCCTCCACGTGGACCGGGTCTTTCTCAGAATCACAGACTCTCAGAGGCAGGTGACCTGGCACAGAGCAGCTGCAATCACCAGTGGGACCCGCACTGCGGCCCACAAACCTTCCCATCACCCGCTTCCCCATCCGTGCTGGTGATCCCCAAGATGCCAACACAGAGCTGCTGTTCTCTTTGTGACTGGTGGCCTCCAGGCCCCAGCTGTTCTCTGTGAGCCATGCAGACCTCATCGTCAGGAGTTATAGACGTCGTCTGTGTGGGCAAGTGTAGACTCCACCTGTGCTGGCGAATGTAGACGCTGTGGGCGAGTGTAGACCTCTGTGGGCGAGTGTAGACCTCTGTGTGGATGAGTGTAGACCTCTGTGTGGGCAAGTGTAGACCTCTGTGTGGGCGAGTATAGACGCTGTGGGTGAGTATAGACCTCTGTGGGTGAGTATAGACCTCTGTGTGGGCGAGTGTAGACCTCTGTGTGGGTGAGTGTAGACCTCTGTGTGCGAGTGTAGACCGCTGTGTGGGCGAGTGTAGACCTCTGTGTGGGTGAGTGTAGACCTCTGTGTGGGTGAGTGTAGACCTCTGTGTGCGAGTGTAGACCGCTGTGTGGGCGAGTGTAGACCTCTGTGTGGGTGAGTGTAGACCTCTGTGTGCGAGTGTAGACCTCTGTGTGTGAGTGTAGACCTCTGTGGGCAAGTGTAGACCTCTGTGTGGGCGAGTGTAGACCTCTGTGTGGGCGAGTGGTGAGTGTAGACCTCTGTGTGGGCGAGTGTAGACCTCTGTGTGGGCGAGTATAGACCTCTGTGTGGGCGAGTGCAGACCTCTGTGTGGGCGAGTGTAGACCTCTGTGTGTGAGTGTAGACCTCTGTGTGTGCGAGTGCAGACCTCTGTGTGGGCGAGTGTAGACCTCTGTGTGCGAGTGTAGACCTCTGTGTATGCGAGTGCAGACCTCTGTGTGGGCGAGTGTAGACCTCTGTGTGTGAGTGTAGACCTCTGTGTGTGAGTGTAGACTTCTGTGTATGATTGTAGACCTCTGTGTGGGCGAGTGTAGACCTTTGTGTGGGCGAGCATAGACCTCTGTGTGGATGAGCGTAGACCTCTGTGTGTGAGTGTAGACCTCTGTGTGTGCGAGTGTAGACCTCTGTGTGGGCGAGCATAGACCTCTGTGTGGATGAGCGTAGACCTCTGTGTGTGAGCGTAGACCTCTGTGTGTGAGTGTAGACCTCTGTGGGCAAGTGTAGACCTCTGTGTGGGCGAGTGTAGACCTCTGTGTGAGTGTAGACCTCTGTGGCGAGTGTAGACCTCTGTGTGGGCGAGTGTAGACCTCTGTGTGGGCGAGTGCAGACCTCTGTGTGGGCGAGTGTAGACCTCTGTGTGGGCGAGTGTAGACCTCTGTGTGGATGAGCGTAGACCTCTGTGTGTGAGTGTAGACCTCTGTGGGCGAGTGTAGACCTCTGTGTGGGCGAGTGTAGACCTCTGTGTGGGCGAGTGCAGACCTCTGTGTGGGCGAGTGTAGACCTCTGTGTGTGAGTGTAGACCTCTGTGTGGGCGAGTGTAGACCTCTGTGTGGGCGAGTGTAGACCTCTGTGGTGGTGTTTGAAGAGGGAGCTGTGGACAGAGGCTGCTGTGGGGCGAGGGTGAGAGTCCCTTTCCTCTGGACAGATGTGGGGTGGCACCACTCCTGCCCCATGGGTGCCCTACCTGAGTCTGTGGAGAAGCCGCTGGCGCTCACGTGGTTAAGGCACGAGAGTGAGGGTTCCCGGAGTTTGTGGTTGGAGCCAGCCTGTCCACAGAGCAGCCTCCACCCTGCTGTGGGGGAGGGGAGCCTGCAGGTGGCCAGGCTGGTGGCCTGTTTCATCTTTTTCAAATTTCCCAATTGGAATTTTCCTGAGAGTGCCAGGGCCGGACTCATGCAAACCACTGAAAACCGCCAACATTCAGCCTCCATAATGGGTCTTGATTTTGTACAGTTTGCAAGAAAATTAAGTGCTTCAATCAAAATGGGCTTAAAAGTCTTCCCCATTTGGCGTAGTCTGCCTATGTAATCATGCACATAATTGGAAAACATGTCTTGAATTATGGAGAAAAACCAACTAAGTGTGATGACAAGGAGAGGAATTTGAATTTCTGGAACACCCTTCTTTGGAGGACGTTAATCTTGAAATAATTTAACCTTTTGAGCTTTAAACGTGTGTGTGTGTGTGAGTGCTGAAGCAGGAACGCCGGCCGGGGCTCTGTCGTCGCGCGGAGACTGTGATCAGAACTTGCACAAAGCGGGGGTTGGAGCACTTTTCTCCCTGTTCCCTTGACCGAGTCCCTTGCCTCCAGGGTGGGAATGGGCGCAACTCTTGGAGGCGCTCAGCCTGCCATGGGCACCTGGGACCCCTGCTGCGGGCAGCTCTCCCGGCCGCACTGAGGGCTCGGTCATGGCGTCTTCACTTCATGGCCTCACAGGTGTGGGGAGCTTAGTTCAGGAATGCCCAGGCGTCCTCACCGGGGCCCCCCGGGGCTTCCCTGGCTGGGTGCCAGGCGGTCCCTTGCCAGCTCGGGTTGGGGTGGTGGGGGCGTCCTCACCCCTTCATCTCCTGCAGCAGCTGGGTGCCTGGTGCAGAAGGTGAGACACAAACAAGTGGGCAGTGACTAGGTGTGACATAAACATCCTGCACCTGTGACAGCGAAATGCAAACATGGCCCCCACACCTCTGACACGCTGGTAATTTCACGTTTGGATTTAAGTAAGGCTGTTTGCGTGTTCACATAGGCATGTGCACGTTGTGTGTTTGCAGAAGGGAGTGCATTCCACATGTTTTCTCCTGGCAAAGGGCGCTTGCCCCCTCCTCCTGCATCCCCCACAAAGAGAAACCACTGAATCAAATTAGATAAAAACACAGTTGGCCTCTGGTTTTCCAGGGAGGTCACCTGACCCATTTTAGTTGTCTTTAAACGCTGCCGGTGGCACCCAGGCCGAGTGTGAGCAGGAGAGTGTGGCCGTGGACATCCCTGTCATTGCATTGAAACCTCACAGAAAGGCTCCTGCAGCTGTAGCAGGCATGGCTCTCATGGGCGTCAGCTTCTCCAGGGCTGCCCCCCCCCCCCCCCCGCCCGCGCCCCGCCTTGGGCACGGCCTTTCAGAATCCGCAGAAATCCCTAGGCGCACACTACTCAGCTTTTTATGTGTTTCAGGGAGGGGTTCTTTCTGCCCTCCAGGGCTGGCCAAGCCCATGTTGCTCCGAGGAAGGGGTGCCTGTCCAGGGACCCCCGACAGAGGACCGCGATGGTCATCGGCATTGGGAGCAAGGCCCCTCTCATGGAGTCGGCCAGGCCCTGGGTCAGCGAGGGGCCACGGGCCTAGAGAGAAGCGTCACAAAGGGGTGGATGGCATCCACACGGCTGCTGGCCTTGCACTGAGTCACACAAAGGCCCAAGGGGCAGTGCTCCAGCGTCTGGGACCTTTGGGGGGTTGGCCTTTACCAGGGGGTCTCGGCAGGCCCTGCCAGCAGCCCATGAAGTGACTGGCGCTGGTGGCACATTTACAGCCCTTGGAATATAAGGAACTAAAATGACTTTGTCTTGTTAGTTCTCACCAGAGGATATTTTCCCCATTGATTTTAGGGAAAGTGGAGCGAAGGCAGGTGGGGGGAGAGAGAAATAGAGAAAGAGAGAGAGAGAGACAGAGAAAGATTGGTTGCACTCACTCCAGTGGGCCTAGGGAACGAATCTGCAACCCAGGTACATGCCCTTGATCAGGAATTGAACCTGAGACCCTTCAGTCCTCAGGCTGATGCTCTAACCCAGCCGTGGGCAAACTACGGCCCGCGGGCCTGATCCGGCCCTTTTGAAATGAATAAAACTAAAAAAAAAAAAAAAGACCGTACCTTTTTATGTAATGATGTTTACTTTGAATTTATATTAGTTCACACAAACACTCCATCCATGCTTTTGTTCCGGCCCTCCGGTCCAGTTTAAGAACCCATTGTGGCCCTCGAGTCAAAAAGTTTGCCCACCCCTGCTCTAACCCCTGGACCAAACTGGCCTGGGTGTGGAACTGAAGTGATCTTAAATCAGCATGGTGCTCACCAAACCTAGGGGTGAATGAGATGCTTTTGCAGTTTTGTCTCACGGCTCAGGCATCGAGAGGGCATCCTCACCTCACCTTGGGGAACAGTTATGAGAGACAAGTGAGGCCCTGTCATCGGGACGCCTGGGCCTGAAGGGCCAGTTCAGGAGCAGTGTGTGCAGGGTGTGAGTGAGTGAGTGTGTGGGTGTGCACGACAGTGTGTGCAGGGTGTGTGTGCGTGTGAGAAGCTGTGTCGGTGCGTAAGAGTGAGCGTATTTGGTGACTGGGAGCGGGGGTGTGAGTGAGTGGATGTGTGTGAGGGTGTGTGAGCTGGTGTGTGTCAGGGTGTTTGAGTGTGAGCAGGCATTTGTTTCAGGGTATGTGAATGTGAGCAGGTGTGTCAGGGTGTTGAGTGTGAGTGTGGTCCTAGGGGCTGCAGCCCACGGCCTGGCTGTGCTGTGTGGGCGGTGAGTGACACCTGGCGGCCTGGGTGCCCAGAGCTCTCTCCGTGGCGCCTTCGCAGCTGGGCCAGAGCCCACGTGGGTCGTGTTTCGCTCGCCCTGGCCATCCAGCTGGCGCTCCGTGACGATGCAGCGCAGCCCCAGCCAGCAGCTCGCACCTCCTCCCCTGGTCTGGTCCCAGGGTCGTGGCCGTGTGGAGCCCGGTGCGTGTCCCGGCCGCAGGGCTGGAGGCCCGAGCCCTCCGCGGGAGGTCTCTAAAGGACGTCTGGAAGTTCCCCAGATGGGACACCGCAGGCGTGTGGTGCAGCGCACACGCCGGAAGTCATGACTTGGCGTGGAGGAAGAGACCTCTCCTTCCAGACTTTCCTGGCGCTGACATGGGAAAGAGGACGGGCGACGTCCGTACACCCAACAGCTGTCGTCACTGTGCTCACCCACGTCAGCCCTCCAGGCGCTGACCTCCACCGTGCCCGCCCTGCAACCCGGGTGGGCGCACGGGGCCCAGGCCGGCCGATGGGTGGGCAGCAGAGACTTCCCTGGACTGTGCTGGGAGTCACACTGGTGTCCAGTGAGTGGAAGAGCAGCTGTGAGCCCGGCCACCCTGTGTCCTAAGGAGGCCCTTTCCTATGTCTTTGGCCTCAGAATGGAAAGATGACCCGACAGTCTAAATCGTACAACGTTCTGAACAGTCGTGGGAGGAAATGAGCAGCCAGGAGCCCTGCGCTGGGAGGCGTGGTGGATGGGTAGCAGTGTCGGTGGGCCGTGTCCGCCGGTCCCAGACCCCTGCTCCCCAGCCCCCCGCACTCAGGTTCAGGGAGGTCCCAGGAAGTGCCCCCACCCCAAAGCAAGGGCTATGGCTTCAGCCCAACCCAGGGGGCCTCGCTTTCTACAGGGCTGTCCTGTGGGTCCCAGGCTGACCTCTGAGGTCAGCATTTGAGGGACCTGGGAGGCGAGTAGGTGGTACAGGAGGCGGGACTCAGCTTGGCCTCTGTGCCCTCCCGACCCTTCATGGCCCCGGGACAAGCCTGTCCCCCAGGCACAGTGACTGATGGTGGAGGGGCAGGGTGTGGGCAGGAGGGCCTCTCCACAGGCACCCACGGGGCTCCGAGAGCCAGGCACAGGCCTCGCATCCCTCCTCACGTGAGTTGTCACTGAAACCTCAGGGCGGATGGCTGGTCCTTCCCTCAGACTTGCCCCAAACCACAGGCCGCTTCCTCCAGGGTCTGCCCAAGGCAACTTCCTCAAGGTGGAGAGTCATCATTCCAGGTGCGCTTCTGTGCGCCCGGCTGGCCCTGGCTCCTGGTGGGGAGGGTGTGGGAGAGGGCACGGCTGGGTGCCCGGCCTTGACGTCCTCTTCTCCCTCGGCTTCCATGACACAGCAGCGCCGCCGTGGTTGTGTGGGAGACGTACTTTTATGTCAGCTCTGAGGCATAACTATCTCACGGACCGCACAGCTCACCTGCCTACGCCCACTGGTCTTGGTAAATCAGAGCCATTCCACCATCACGCACCCCAGGACGTTTTCATCGTGCGGCATGCTCCAGCCTCGCCGCTGCGGGAGCCTGTGTGAGGACTGCGCTCGTGGAGGTGGACGGCGCCCATGTATGGCCAGCCGCACGCGGGTCTCCGTGTCATGGGGCATCGCGGTGCTTCCACGGGCATGAGCACCGGTGCCCGGGTTTCCGCATGGACGAGGGTGTTCCTTCCCTGGGCACAGTCCCGCGACGGCAGCTGCTGGCCACTTGGAAATTCCACGTGGGACCCTCTAGGAACCGCCAGGCTGGGTCCCACAGCACATGGGTCGTTTCCTCTCCACTCCCATCTCTGTGCCGAGCAGGCTGGTCCCAGTGGCTCTGTTGGCGCTGTCAAGTGAGGCCTGGGAGGGTCCCGAGGACGGAGGTGGCGATGGGACGGACCTGGACGCACACCCTCAGGGTCCCACGGGCTCTCTCTGGCCCTCCCCTCTGTCAGGCCCTGCACAAGCTTCTTGGCATCTTTCTGTGGGGAGGTGACTGGCAGTTACACATCACACGCCTTCCCTGACAGCCAGCAGCTGATGCCAGCACAGGTCTCACTGTCGGTGCCTCCCCAGGTGTCCTGTGTGCAGGCCGGACACAGTGTCGCACAGGTACCGTGAGTAAGCGTGCAGCCCGCTCCTGTGGCCGACTGATGACCAGGAGGAGATGACGTGTGTGTGGCCGAGGGCCTGAGTAGCCTGGGTCCCTGGGAGTGGGCGTCATCGCCCTCAAACCAAAGACTCTGAACCAAGCCCTTGGTTATTCCTGCGCTGCTGCTGCCCACCGGCTGCCCGAGGCTCCCAGATCCTGGGCCAATCCGAGACTCTCGGAACCCTCCCGGCCCCAGAAGAAGGCCAGAGAGTGTCCCAGGACAGCTGTGGGGGCTCGGCCCCCGTGGGGACCCGCACGGCCGGGCCAGCCAGGCGGAGGCGCAGCAGCCACTGGCCGCACGGGAGCCTCCTGGCGGGTGTGGCGGGGAAGCCTTTCGGATGACTCACGCTGCAGGGAATTCCCTAATGACTGGGAATATTTTTACTTCTGGGCTTGTGCACAGTTTCCTACTGAGAACGCAGCGAGCTCCTGATAAGCTGAACACAAAGGCCCATTCAGGCCGATTTCCCTTCCCAGTAAAGCTGACGTTGAGCACAACACCCAGGCCTGGCAGGCTCTGCAGGAGGCGGCCTGGCCTGGGCCGGGCTATGGAAGTGGGAGCCACGGTGCCGACTGTTTCCTAAGAGTTCTCCATCGGCGTCTTTCACGCCTCGGCCCTGCCTCCCCTGAGCAATGGCCGTGCGTGAACAGATGCTGTTTAAAAGGCATCGGCGCCCTTAGGGTCTCTGAGCCCACCAGGAGTGCCAGTGCCCGCCCTGGGGCTGCGGACCAACCACAGGCAGGAAGACCCCGGGAAGCAGGGCCAGAGCCCAGGCTTTGGCACGCCCTGGGCGGGTAGGCGGGCACAGGGGGCCCCGGCTTTGAAAGGTGCATGCACTTTGGGGGTTCCAAGACCAAGTCGGACATCCGGATGTGTGTGTTTGTGCTGGTGCCAGTCTGTGACTTTTCAGAAGCTGTGGTGGGGCGGGCCCAGCCGGCTAGCGGGCATAGGCGCAGGGCCCGGGCTGAGAGCTGCTTGGTCAGGCTCCTGATACTTCAAGTGCCTGAGCCTTCGTCTGGGTTCCGCCATTTCTTACTGGAGGGGGTGGGCGCTGACCCCTGGGGCCGAGGTCAGCATCTGGCCCGTGGGTGGGCCCGGCGTCCCCAGAGGCTGGTGTGGCCCGGTGGGTCGTGACTCACGCTTCCTCCCCGTCTCCACTCCACCCGCCCGGCAGTCACTGTGAGGGAGGAAAAGGAGCTTGTCTAATTTACTGAAAATTTAGGATTTGTAACACACATTTCTTCTTTGAAAACGGCGCGTTGGGTAGAAACTAATGCTTATAGGAGAACTGACTGTATAAACAATAACAAGGAAAGAGGCCTCTGGGCCGTGGGGGAGGGGTGGGTGTTGACACCTATCAACTCAGAATTCTTAGAGCCAGTCCCTACGGGTGTGCCTGCAGACAGGGGCTTGCAAGCACCAGGGTGCGGTTTGTGGAAGGTTCTGGTTAGTGGGGGCCCGACCTGCCCCCCTGGGGCCCCGGCCCAGGAACAGAGCCCTTCCACAGGCCCCTTTGTGAAACTTTTTATGTTTCTTAAACATGCAGACAGCCACGAGGTGAGGATAAAAGTCCTGTGGGCTTTGCATGTCTGTGTCCTGACCTGGCAAGCAGTAGTCAAAGAAAGGACTCTCTCATTTACCCTGTGGAGCTGGCTCCCCGAAGGCACGGGCTCTGCAGGCTCAGTCACTGCACCGGGGGCCGAGCTGGCGGGAGAGGGGACAGGGCACTCCCCGGGGTCACCACGCTTTCCTGGGCCCGAGCTCCCTTGGATGTGGGCGTGTGGAAACCCTTCCCTGACTGATGTGGGGTGACACTGGGCAGAGGGCAGTTTCTGGGGGAGTCCCCCACCCCACAGCCAGGCTGCGCCCTGCAGAACCAGGTCTTTGGGCTCCGCCAGGTTCCCTACGCCTGAGTTTGGGTGTGAGTCTCCCAGCGTCTCCCCCCTGGGCCTGGCGTCCATCCACTGTCCCACAGACGTGACTCTCTGGTCTTGCCGGGTAGCAGCCAGCACGACAAGGCCGAGCCAGGCGGGTGGGTCCTCTACTCGGCGGCTGCTGTCCCCGGGCCATCTGCCTGGACCAAGGTGTGTGTTTTCGGGGGATGCGCTCAGTCAGGCACCAAGTAATGGACTTCCCATGCCCTTTCTTCTAGACGGCCACCACATCTGGGAAATGGAGGCGAAAACCGACCGAGACCTGTGCAAGCCAGTAAGTATCTCTCAGACGTGCACACGCGGTGCCAGGCGAGTCAGGGGGCTCCCCACGTGGGGGCGGGTTCCTGCCGGAGGCACATGGCCTCTTGTTTGTTAAAGTGGAAGGACTAAGAGAAATCACAGAAAGACAGTGCGAGAGAAGTGGGTGTACAGCACTCCCTGGGCCAGGGCTCCTGAGAGGCAGCGAGACAAGGCGCAGGGCGGCCGCGGAGACGGACCCATGGGGCTGGAGGCCCCACGGCACTTGTGTGCCAGCTCCTGCACACGGCCACGACAGGGGGAACGTCATGCCCCAACACGGGGCTTTTCTGTGACCTCTGCTGTCATCGCCACCAGGGCCCCACACAGATCGCTGCCCCCCAGGAAGACCGCTGCCCCCAGCTTCTGAGGGCGCGGGACCTGTGTGGCACGCAGGTGGCCAGGTTCCACCAGCATCCGTCAGAGAACACTCACCGCTCACCAGACTCTTGTTTTGAACCTGAAACGGTGGAGCTGTGCCTCTTGGGCTGGCCAGTTCCCTTTGCCGATTAGCCAGTGGCCTGGAGGCCTGGGAACACCTGCCTGGTGGTGTTGAGGCCGCTGAGCTGGGCCTGGGGCCTGCAGGTGGCCTTGTACATGTGCCCACACTCAGCCTTTCACGGCTTTTGGGTACCTAAGAAATAGTTGTTGTTTCTTTGATTGGTTGTTCCTGGAGAATGCCTTTTGTCTGAAATTACGGCGCTGTCCGTTAGCTCTCTCGGTTACCGTTAGCCCAGTGTGTCTTCTGGATCTCTCTCCCTGTGACCTGAGCCTTCGCGTTGAAGGGACTTCCTGCAGACACAGGAGCTGGTCCTTCCTCCCAGGTGGCGTCTCATGGCGCGGTGTGTTTGGACCGTGGTGCTGAAAGCGATGGAGATTAGTAGCTACCATGAGTGTGTGTTTCCCACCGAGTCCTGGAAAAGATGCAGGAAGTAGGCTGACATGGAATGCTGGGACTAGCGAGGGATTTGTGGAGGACACTCCTCGTTCTTCCATCTCTATAGCATCTTCCACTGATGGCGATGTGAACGATCCTTCCGGAGGTGCAGGGGATGGGAAGTACTGTTCAGGTCAAGTGCTTCATTCGGGGGGCTCCTTGTGGGTCCTGCACGGTTGAGCCGGGTGAGCAGGGCACCTGGGTCATGGGGTCGGCTGAATCGATCTGGGTAACTGCTCCCTGCCCTGTGGCGGGCGGGGCCTCGTGGCTGCCCCACGGATGGCTCGGGTGGTGCTGGGTGGCTGCTCACAGTGGCTCTGCCAGGACAAACCATCTTCCACCTGGGGTGTGGCTTCCTTGTCCACGCTCCACACCACTTCCCGGTTGAGGAAGTGGTGTCGCAAGTGGTGTCGGAAGGAGATCCCTCCCTGGCCCAGGGCGGACCTGTGTTTAGAAGTGTGCTGATGGAGGTGGGGGGACTCACCCTGGCCTCACGGGCTCCTGCTGGCTCCCTCTCCTGAGGAGCCGGAGGACATGCTGCAGCCCCGGGCAGTTCGGCTTCCAGACGGGTCCCGGCCCGGCAGGCCTGTGGGCTGCCAAGTCAGCGCAGGGCTTGTGGTGAACGGACACCTGGTGGCTGGAGACACAGCCCCGTCCGCCTTCCAGGGCGCACCTCCCTGCCTCCCTGAGTCTCCTCCAACCCTGTCACACCACGGGGCGGCCTCACTCCTGCTCCCGTCCCCCAGGCCGGTCTCCCCCTGCTTCCCACCCACTGTGGTGCCACCCCCAAGCCATCTTGTTCTATCAAAATAATTCCTGCTAACTTTGCATATTCAGATTTTCTGTCACCGAGTTTTCTTTATGTTGAATAGTTGCATTTTTAAAGGAAGCTTGACAGTTAGTTGTGTGTTTTAAAAGGAACGTACATGTGGATACTGGTACACTTTGTCACAATTCCATCCTTATCGCTTAAATGAGGTTCACCTTTACATTTTCCCTAATTATAAAAAGACCGTCACATTCATGGTGGTCATTGGTGTGGGTGTGCATGCGTGTGTATTGTCTACACCTTCACACACACATGTGCACATACATCACAGTGTGTGTGTTTTTAAACAAAGCGGGAGTGTGCTGTGTATAGAGCTTATATGCTATCGTGAGCAGGTTAGACGGTGGATATTCTTAGAGCGAGCCCCTGATCTACCGAGTGTCATTTGTTAGCCTTATTTCTGCCCCTGCACTTTCTCCCTTACCTCTCCTCTGCTGGGTATTTCAGCCCCGTGCTCTGGCGGGGAGAGCGTTTGTCACAGAATTTGTCTGTTGAGAGAATGGGAAGCCTATCAGCCTGTGCCCGCATCAGAGCCCGGCCCTCCTGTCACTCAGAATGACAAACCCCGGCCGCACGGAATCCAACGTGCTCCAAGGGCGCGTTGCCCCGCCTGGCACGTCACGGGCTCCCGTGGCCACAGCCGTCCCTGCCTCCCCGCACCTTAGTTCCAACCTCAGCCCAAGGAAGAGCTTTCTTTCCTGTCTCTTCTCTGACTCTCCTCTGTGGAGATGAGACTGTTTTACTGTCGACTCCATGAAGCCAGCCACGTGCCAGGCCCACCGTTACCACGGTGTCTGCTCCCAGCCGAGTCCTCAGGAGGTGACCCGAGAGGTAGCGACTTTATCCTTATCTTGCGGGTACGCATGGGAACCTGAGACTCCGGCGTGCCAGAGCTGTGGCTGAACCCAGACCTGGGTGACCCGGAGCCAGGCTGCCCCCTCCCCCCCCCGGGCTGCAGGTGCATAGCTCGTTCCCAACCTCACCCCCTTTGCCCCTCTGGCTTCGGGGCCACTTTTGGGTAAGGGTTGGCAGGCTGAGGCAAAAGGAGACCGTGTGGTGTGCTTGATGCTTCTTCTGAATGACACGAAGTTATTAAAACAACAAAAGCATGTGGCCAGAGCCAGCGTGGCCCCAGGGGACCCCTCCCGGGCCTTGCCATCCGTGTGCCCTCCGCAGCCGGCTTCGGTGCCTCAGTTTCTCTACCTGTAAAAGGAGAAGGCTTGGCCTGAAGTTCTCTTCAGTTTTCTGTGTTAACGTTCTTAAGATTTCATTACTAACATAATTCAGTCGATTTTGCTATTAATCTGGGAAACAAGCTACAACTAGTTTAACAAAAAAAAAATTATACAATGGATTTTTCTTGTCCATTTTTCCTCCTTGTTAACTGAAATCATATGACCAAAAAAATGGTGGAACTTTTGGGATGTGAAACGTTCCCCTAACCCACCCCCCGAAATCCAGTGCAGCTCCCCCTCCTCTTCAGAGCACGGGTTGCTGACCTGCTGACAGCCACACAGGGACGGCCGAGGGAGCACACAGGTGGCCGGGATGCGGGTGTACCAACCCCGCCGTCTCTCTCTCCCCAGTGCCCCGCTGCCTCACGGCAACTTGCTTTTATAGCTGTACTCGAAAGAGCATGATGCTAGATGGTTGCTGATTTTTATTTTAATACACAGGAAGGTAACAGCAGCCACATGAACCGTCCTGTTCCATCTCGGGCTCCACCTCCTGACTCTGACAGGCGCCCAGCTCTCCATCTTCTTCAGTTTGAGGGAGTCTGGGTGTTGTTGAGAGGTTTTGGACCTTGTCCTCACAGACCCTGTCCCCAGAGACACATCTCCAGGACACGCCTGCCCTGGGTCGTCATTGCCAGTTGCCCGGACAGGCGCTCCTGGCTCCATCCAGGGGTCAGTGCAAGGAAGGCTCATTCTCATTTTCAAAGGTCACTGACCCTTTGCTGTAGGGCAGACGGAAGCGATTGGGGTCAGCGGCCGTGTGGCTGGTCCCCTCTCAGCATCTGCACTGGCCTCTCTCCTGCGCCAAGTCAGTGGCATCTTAGGTGAAGCCCCCAGTCTGCGTCCCCTGCACACGCCACCTCAGACCACCTCTCAGCTCTGGGTGTGCAGGTCATCAAGGACCCTCTTCCCTGCTAGCCCACATGGGACCGGCAGGCCGGCCCGCACACGCGTGTGCCCGCTCATGTGCAGGCTCTCTGCGGGTGGCTTCTTCTGGCAGCCCCACAGTGGGAGCTGTTCTCCACGCGGACGAACCCTCTCCGTGCAGAGCCTCTGCGTGGGAGAGTGCTAACCGCCCCTCCTGTCTGCCCTCTCGCACTAGAACGCGCTGGTGGTCGAGATACCGCCGTTTCGCAATCAGAGAATCACCAGCCCCGTCCAAGTCAGCTTCTACGTCTGCAACGGGAAGAGGAAGCGAAGCCAGTACCAGCCCTTCACCTACCTGCCTGCCAATGGTAACGCTATCTTTCTAACCTTACGTGCTGCGAACGAACCGGTGGGGTGCTTTTTCTAAAAGACGCAGAAACGATGAGCTGCTGTCGCTGCAAAACAACACGGTCGCATTGTACCTTTAAGCTGTGTTACTATCCTGTTAGCAAGACCATGTTGCCAATTCTTAAAAAAAAAAAAAAAAAAAAAAAAAATAGCGAACCTTCCGGTGTATTTTCCTTTATTACTGTTGCGGGGGGCGGGGGGGAGGTGTGTATTGGGGTAATTGCTGATCATTTTGCGGGCTGTTTGCAGGTATGTAACAGCCGGGACGGGGGGGGGGGGGGGTGCAGGGGGAGAGAAGGTGCGTCCCTCCTGCACTCAGAGCTGAGTGGGCTCGTGTGCGTTTAAATTGTATAGCTGTGCACGGTGGGGAGCAAACAGCTGTAATTATTTTGCAGGTGCCTTTAGAAATAAACCCTTGCTATTAAGCCTAAAGGCTGCTGCCTGATGTGGTCATTAAGTAACATTGATGTTTTTGTACTCGTGATAAAACCCACATGACTTTGTTCCTTGAATAATTGCAACGTCCTGTGACTATGAGCCTTTTTACCGTTCACTCGGCCACAGCGTATTCTCTCGTTCAGCTGGTCCGTCCGCCCATGTTGAGGATGGCTTCTTACCGCTTTTTGAAAAATCAGTTCACTTGTCCATTTTTCAGGGTCCGTTATTAAAGAAAATAGCATCGTTTGCGTTTCCACCCCCTGCACTCGTAGAAAGTGAGGGTGTGTGCGCAGAGCCCACGCCCGGCGCGCTGTGGCCCGTCACCCCGGCAGCCCGCGCCTGTGTGCACAGGATGGCCGTGTTGTCCTGGGGGTGTGTTTCGTGGAAGCCCAGCTATGCAAACAGCCTTTTAATACTGTAGCCTTTGTTCTAAAAACACACGAGTGAAGAGGGAAATTGTACTCCGAAAACTAATGGCAAGAGCAGCCATGTCGTCATCTCAGTGAAAGGGAGACTTTTTTGAAGGTTTCTGGTCTCTCTAAACGTAAAACGCCATTTACATAGACAGGTCATGGAAAGCTCTCGCACATCGGTGTTGATACCAAACAGTTGGAATGAACTGTCCTTGAGGCAAATACTAGCCAAGCTTTTGAAGGTGTGAAAAGTAAGATTTTGTTGTAAAATTGCCATATCGTGAGTGCGTGCACGGAGCAGGGGTGTGGCTGTCAGCAGCTCGCGGAGCGGGTTCCAGGAGAGGGTTGTTCCCGATCGCGTGGCTGCGGGGCTTTGTGATGTATCGCACGTGGGCCATGAACCCTGTCCGCTCTGGAATAAGGTACAATAGCGCTTAAAAAGAAAACATTTAGTCTTTTTTTTTTTTTTTTGTAAATGTAATGATTATGTTCTAATTAAACTTCAAGCATGATTGACCAGATATTGAATGTTTTAAAAGAAAACCTAGGCCTTATAAAGAAAATTTTCTTTGTAAAGCAGTTCAGAAAATAGCTCTGCAGTCCCTGCTCCAAGTTCACAAGTGCCGAGGGTTACACACGACCCGTGTCAGGGGAAGGAGCCTGTGTGTGACATGCACACCCTCTTCCAGGTGGGGGACCGAGGCCTCCAAGGACACATAACTGGGATCCCAGGGTGATGCTGGGCTGTCCATGTGCCATCCAGGGTCACCCGCCTGCACAGCCATTCAGTGCTGCAGTCTCACTCCCACAGAGCTCAGAGCTGCCCTCTGCCCCAGTAACCATGACCCACCCTCTACATCTGCCCCAGGTCCTCCATCACCACGCTCTACATCTGCCCTAGGTCCTCCATTACCACGTTCTAGGTCTGCCCCGGGTCCTCCATCACCACGCTCTAGGTCCGCCCCGGGTCCTCCATCACCACGTTCTGGGTCTGCCCCGGGTCCTCCATCACCACGCTCTAGGTCTGCCCCGGGTCCTCCATCACCACGTTCTAGGTCTGCCCCGGGTCCTCCATCACCACGCTCTAGGTCTGCCCCGGGTCCTCCATCACCACGTTCTAGGTCTGCCCCGGGTCCTCCATCACCACGCTCTAGGCCTGCCCCGGGTCCTCCAGCACCTTCATCACCATGCTTTCAATGACATCTCACCTGGACCCCTCTCCCTCTGGCTGGTGCCCCAGCTTCACCTACAGAGCCCTGGTCCATCCCATTAGCAGGGTCCATGAGGCTCCCTAAGGCCTGGACTTCCCAAGCCTTTCTGGTGGTGGGAGCCCTATTTTCCTCAGGCCCTCATCTCCTTTCACCACTTGTCTCTGAAATTTACTCCTTATCTACGAAACTGCAGGTGCCCATGCTGCCCTGGGAGCGCCCCAGCCTTCCCTGCCTTCCTGGGCTGGGTCCACCAAGCCCTGTGGGGTTGTGACCACTCAACACGCCCCTAGCCTGTGAGCTCCCCGAGAGCAGGGACCTCCACCTGCATCTGACTCCGTGCCTGACTGTGGGGCTGTCCTTGTGTGGTGTTTAAGATAAATAAATGAACAAATGATACACTAGAGCTCCAGCAGCAGTTTTGTTCTGGTGTTTTCCTCGCCGTGCATTGCCGCCTCCTTAGCTTTGGAATTGAGTGTACTCACCCCACTAAGCAGGTGGGAATGGGCACGGGACCAGGTGCCTGCCCTTGTGCTTGCCCAACCCCCCCTCACCGGAGGTCACTTAGAGCGTCTCCACCCAGTACCCCCATCACTGAGACCGATTGCCACCCTAAGTTCCGAAGACACAGTGGCCCGTTGGGCTCTGGTGGGGGGAGGCGGGGGAGGGTATAGGGCATGGCATTCATCAGGAGAGGTTCGCCTGCTGTTAAGGTACTTTGGTTTGTGTCCCTCTCTCTCAGACCTCAGTGGTGAGGCTGTAACGTCCTCCTCCAGGTTTGGGGGCCTTGTCCACCTGACCACGGCAGAAACGGCCTCAGGTTGCTGTTTGCTAATGGAGACAGGCAGATTCCCTTCAAGCGCATGAAATGTGCTGTTGAAACATACAAGACGATGGACATAAACCCATTTAAATCCCACCCCTGAAGTTCATTTTCATGTGCAAATGTGTAAGGTCAAACCTCATCTTAGGTTTTCCTTTGAAATTGGGTGGAAGTAAGGGGATGGTGGGGCTTTCCTGCTGTTGGCTCTGGGACAGGGACCTGGGGAAGGCACTGCTCTCACAGAGCCCCCAGGGCAGGCTGTGCCTCCTCCATGCAGGCCGCCAGGCCTTTCCAGTGTTGGACGTGAAGGGTGACAGTGTTGGTGGCTGGGCAGAGGCAGAGGCCTGGGAAGGACCCACACCTGTTCACCCTCTTGTTGCCTTCCCCACCTCGTGCCTCAGCTCTGATGTTACCTTCGATGACAGCAGATAAACCTCCAGCCATCAGTTCCCAGGGCTGACGCCCACTCCCACCCCTACCCTGTCACGGCCTAGTGCAGAGGCCACGGTCGGGTGGGTCGTCTGGCTGCTGGTCTGCGTGGGCTCAGGGTGGTCGGCTCCCTGACCCTCTCTGGGGGCTGAGTGTTTAGCAGGGAAAAACTTCCAGGTAAAGGCAGGGCCGTGAACAGAGGCACAGCTCCTAGGAGAGCCCTACACTCACCCCGGCCGCCCGGGGGGCAGCACGCAGGGCAGAGCAGAACACTTGGTGGGACTCTAGAAAAGCTGCGTGCGCTCACACATAGCGGGAGCTTCCTCAAGGTGCTTGCTTGTCGCTGCTTTTATTGAACGGCACCAATGCCGCCTCTGAAAGGAAGCTGCTCCTTCCACCCAGTCATGCCCTGTGGCTGAGGCCCTGGCACCGCCACAGGACAGATGCTGCCCAGAGGCCCCTCGGTTCTAAGAGTTGTTCCACAACGTCAGATGCGGGTCCCAGGGCCTACCTGGGGATGGAGGTCCACACCGCTGTTTCCCCGGTTGGGAACGGCAGGACAGGGGCGGGAGCTCACGGGATAAAAAGAATTCCAAGTTGGGACCTCAGAATTTCATAAAATGAGAAAAATAAATCATGACACATTTTTGGGGTCTTGGGGAGTTGATGATAAGGTGGGGCCCTGCAGGTGAGGGGCCTGGAGCTTCCCTTTGTCGGGTCCCGGTGGCCAGGACTCCCCAGCTGGGAACCCGCTTGTCCTTCACAGACACAATCCTGGACGGAGGCCACGTGGTGATGACGATGCAGCTGTTTGTCCCCAACAGGACCTCTCGGGACTGTGGGAGAAACCACTTGAACCCCTGAGAGCGACCGCCGACCAGGGACAGAGGTGCCCGGGATGGCCCTGCCTGCGGGAGGGGGTTTGGAGCTGGAGAAGGACCTCCACCGAGAGGGGGGCCCTCAGCCATCCTCTCGTCGCTAGAGGGACCCCGGTTAAGTCGGTCATCCTGCTCCGAGGATGCCCTGATTGAAAACACATCTCCACCTCCAGAGGGAGAGAGGGGAGTAGATTTCTTGTTTGCATTACTCAGTTCAGACGTCGGAGTAGAGTGAGAAGAGGGGAGTGGCCGCGGAACCGAGCCAGGCGCCACATGGATTACCCCACCGCGGCCAGAGCAGGGCCTGAGTGGCAGACAGGTCTCTGCAGATCCCAGAGTTGTGGCTGACCATGTGAGGGCCCACCTCCAGCCCCCTTGGTCTGATGCCCGCCGGCCCGCCCCAGCTCTCAGGGCAGCTGGAGCGGGTACTGTAGGTGGACCTGGACACGCAGCCTTCCCTCCGCCCAGCAGCCTCAACCGCACCGTGAGCTCCAAGTCCACCAAACGTTTTGGCTCATTTCCCCCCAAGTTCATTGCATTAAAGTTTAACCCCAAAGTACTTAGCGTTGTGTACGTGGTATACCTCCTAACAGTGACTTCAGGTGGCCACTGGCTTCTGTGAGGTGTGCTGGCTGGACCTGAGCCCTGGGCCTCTCGTCTCCTGCCCAGAGCCCCTGCCCCTCACCCCGGGGCCCTACCTGGGCCTCAACTCATAAATGTCCCTCATTTTATAACAAAGAAATGAGCCCCTGGGAGCTTGAGCCGTTGGCC